AAAAAAAAAAAAAAAAAAAAAAGAATTTTACGAGCGAACTCCTAATTTCAGCAGTCCAGGTCTGTTGTAGTTACGTCCAAGCAGTCTTAATGCTCTAGTGGTTCCAGATTGAGTAGTGGTCCCTGCAAATTTGTGTCCTTCCCAGAACCTCAGAATGCAACTCTTTGAAAACAGGATTTTTGCCGATGTAATCAGGGTAACAAGTGATTATCAGCTCACAGGATCCTCACCCAACACCACTGGTGTCACTGTAACAGAGGAATTTGGGAAGAATACACCGGGTGAACCCACATGACGACCAGTCAGAGGTGGTGATGGTGAAGCTGCAGGCCAAGGAGAGGCAGCTCGACAGCTTCCCTTAGACGCAGTATGGAGGCACTGGTTGAGGCCGTCCAGTGTTCAGCACTCCGATTTTGGAATTCTGTTGTGCCAAACTGCAGGACAATGGATTTTGGTCAAGCTTGGCCATTAGCACTATTATTTAATTTTGGAAGTGTCTCTTCACCCCCAATATAAACCTGTGTGCTATAATAAGTAATTCCCCAATCTAATCCCAAGGCCCTTGGATACTGTGAATCTACTTTCCCTGTGGATTTGCACACTCTGCACCGTGTTGTTTTGTTTTGTTCGTTGCATATTTATTTGTTTCCAAGACAGTGTCTTGCTATGTGACCTAAGTTAGCCTCAAACTTGCTGCGCTCTCGCTGCAGCCCCTGGGGTGCTAGGGTTATAGCTGTGTAGCTACTACACAGGGCTTATAAATGAAGCTACATTTGTTTGTTTCTATGATTTTTTATGTCCTCTCTCTCTCACCCAATTTGTTTTTTAAATTAATGTATAGGTACACTTTAGACGTGCATAATGATAACCTTCATCACAGGAATTTGTACCCATACATAATACACCTTGATTCCTTTCCATTCTGTTCACCTCTCTTCAACCCTTCTTCCCCTACTTCCTGACAAAAGCTTTGTTTTCATTTTTTCTTCTATTCTTTTTTTCCCTTTTCACTTCCTTCTCTATCCTCTTCTGTTGAACATTTTTTTTCTCTATTTTATCATCCATTTTGGTCCTTATTTACCCTTTCAGTTTCTTTCACAAGCAAACCAATGTGATATTTAAACATTTGTGTCCAATTTATTTCACTTGAAAGTATGGCCCCAAGGTGCATCTATTTACCTGAAAATGTCTCAGATTTATCCTTATTTATGGCAGAGCAGTATTCCACCATATAAAAACCACATTCTTTTCTTTTTTCTTTTTTTGGTACCGGGGATTGAACTCGGGTCCTTGTGCTTGTGAGGCAGGCGGTGGAGCCACTGAGCTAAATCCCTGGCCTTCAAAACCACATTTTAAAATGCATTCATCTGTTGATGAGCATATGGGCTGTTTCCAAGATTTAGGTATTACAAATTATGCTGCTATAAGCATGGATGTGCATGTATAGCTGTGGTATGATACCTTTAACACTTTCAGGAACATACTAAGAGGGGAATTCCTGGGTCAAATAGGACCTCTAATCCTAGCTTTTTGAGGAATCTCCACATTGATTTCCACACTGGCTGCACCAGTCTACACTCCCACCAACAGTGGAGAAGGGTTCCCTTTTCCCCACAACCCTGCAGGCATTTGTAATTTTTTTTATTTTTTATTTTTGAACTGGGGATCAGACTCAGGACCTTGTGCTTATGAGACAGGCAGCAGAAACACTGAGCCAAATCCAAGGCCCAAGTATTTGTTATTGATGTCTGGTAATAATCATTCTTTCTGGAGTGAGATGGAATTTCAGTGTTGTTTTAATTTACATTTTTTCAAGTGACCAGTGATGTTGAACGTTTTTTGACATATTTATCTGCTATTTGTACTTCTTCATCTGAGAAGTGTCTATACATTTCAGATCCCCATTTTTTTATTGGGTTCTTAAATTTGGGGGGTCTGATTTTTTTGAGTTCTTTATGTATTCTAGATATTAGTCCTTTGAGGAATTTTTCTTTTAAAAATTTTCTTCTCATTCTGTACATTGTTTCTTCATTCTGTTGGTAGTTTCCTTTGCTGAGCAAAAGCTTTTTAATATGATGCGATCCCAGTTGTTGATTCTTTGAAACCTTTCCTGTGCATTTGGGGTTTTGTTTATGAAGTCTTTGCCTACACCAATGTCTTCAAGAGTTTTACCTATTCTATCTTCCAGCAGATTTAGTGTTTCTGTTTTAATATTTAGATCTTTGATCCATTTTGATTTTTGTTTAGTGTATAGTGAGGGTTATGGGTCTAGGTTAACTCTGGCATGTGGAAAGTCAATTTTTCAAGCATCATTTATTAAAAGGCTTTCTTCCTGTGAAGGTGTTTGGCCTCTTTATCAAAGATAAGGTGGCTAAGTGTGTTTGGAATTGTTTCTGCATCTTCTAATCTGTTCAATCAGTCCTCAAGTCTATTTCTTTGCCATGCTATTTTTGTCACAGTGGCTTTGAAATATAATTTCTCTCTCTCTCTCTCTCTCTCTCTCTCTCTCTCTCTCTCTCTCATGGGGCTCAAACTTGGGACCTTGTGCTTGCTAGGCAGGTAGCACTACTGAGATAAATCCCCAGTCCTGAAATATAATTTCAAGTAAGAGATTGTGTTGTTCCTTGTCTTGTCTTTGTTGTCCAGAACTGCTTTTGCTATTCTATGTCTCTTCTGCATCTGAATAAATTATAGGATAGTTTTCTCTATTTTTGTGAGGTATGTTATTGGCATTTTGATTGGGATTGTATTAAATCTATATAACAGTTTGGAATTGTGGCTATCTTCACTATATTTGTTCTGCCTATCTAAAAACAAAGGTTATCTTTCTATTTTCTGATATCCTCTTCAGTCTCCTTTTTCTGAGTACTGTAGTTTTCAATGTAAAATTTTTTTACTTCTTTTGTTAAATTTATTCCTAATTATTTCATTTTTCTTGATGCTATTCTGAAAGATGTTGTTTCCCTAATTTCAGTCTCAGTGAGTTTGTTATTTGTGTACAGGATTACTATTTTGTTGTTGTTGTTGTTGAGTACTAGGGATTGAACTCGGGACCTGCGCTTGTGAGGTAGGTGGCAGCACCACTGAGCTAAATCCCTGGCCCTGCTATTGATTTTTGAGTGTTGACTTTGTATTCTGCTATGCTATTGAATTTGGTTATTAAATCTAGGAGCCTTTTGGTGGAGATTTTGGGGTCTTCCATGTACAGTATCAGGTCATAATAATTGGACTTATTCCTTTTCTATCTTTATTTTTCTTCTCTAATTGGTGATGGTGGGCATCCTTGTCTTTTTCCTGATTTTAGAATAAAAGCTTTCAGATTTTGACCATTTATTATGATATTGGCTGTGGTTTGTGATAGATGATTTTTATCAGATTGAGATAAAGACCTTCTATTCCAATATTCTGTAGGTTTTTTTTTTTATATCACAAATGGTTGATAGAGTTTGTCGCATGTTTTTTCTGTGCGTTTGAGAGGATCCTGTGGTTTTTGTCCTTGGTTCTATTAATATGGTGTATTACACTTATTGATTTGCATATGTCCAGCCATCCCCGCATCTCTGGAATCAATCCTACTTGGTAATGATGTATAAATTTCTTGATGGCTTATTGCATTTTGTGTGCCAGTATCTTACTGAAGATTTTTGCATTTATGTTCATTGAGGAGATTGGACTACAGTTCTTTTTTTTAGTTGGATCCTTCTGTGATTTGTAATGCTTGCCTCCAAGAATGAGTTTGGGAATATTGCTTCCTTTTCAATTTCATTAAAGAGTTTGAAGAGTAGTGGCATTAGACCTCTAAATTTCTTGTAGAATTCAGCAGCGAATCCTTCAGGATGTGGGCTTTTCTTTGTTGGTAGTTTTTAAATTACTTTTTTAATTTC